GTGTTTAAATGCTAATGTAGAAGAACGCGGAAAGAATTTTTTTTTTACCATTTTGTGCCACCAAACAATTATGAAAAGGAAGTTCCTGACTCAATTTCTAAAAATTTGTACACTAGGCTTAAGACTACTAGTTTTTTTTTTAAGTTTTCTTCACTTTTGTTGTAGACTTCAAGTTTCTGGAATCCCGCATTAGATTTTCTGTTTGGTTGCCAATCATTTTCGTAAGTTTTTTTACCGACTAACACAAGAGTGTGAGAGAGCAGCTAATTAATACGTATGTTGCAACTGGGGGTAATTACAGGAAAGTTGAAGCGAAAGAATAATGAACCCTTTAATTCTTTAAGCAATTGGTTAGTAGGAAAGTGTGTTAGAAATACTGGTTTAGAACATATTATTATGTGAAACTGTGTATCAAGCCTTATAGTGGGAAACAGTGTAAGAGGATGTTTACTATTTCTAAGTGCTTGTTTTATAGAGGAACTTTTCCATGGAAAATGCATCAATTCTCCGAAATTCGTTTTCTTTCCACCCAAATTCCATTATTGCATCAAATGGACCCTAAGGATGTGTTTGATAGGGTGGAATTGGAATTGGAATTGGAAGATGGAATTGGAATTGGAATTGAATTTTCTAACTTTAGGTGTTTGATACATTTTTTTCCATGAACTTGATTTTCTTGAAATTTGGACTTTTCTTGGTTTTTAGGGAACAGTAAAATCTATTTCTTTAATTGACAATTTTTATTTAAAACAAAACCTAACGAACACCAAAAAAATACTTTTATTTCAACATTTTTCACGTGAAAAATTATATCAGTCAAACACAATAATTTACAATTCTCAATAAAATAATTTTAAACAATTCAATTCCCTGGAATTCATTTTCTAGGCAATTTAATTCAATTTTTGCAATCAAACGGACTCTAAATGATTATCAAACTCAGAAATATGTGGAAAGATTATAGGCTATAATGTTTTTTTCCCTTTTCTTCAACAAGTTTCTGTTGAGATTCGAATCGTGTTCTCATCACTTACAAAAGTGTGCTTCCAAATATTATGAAGAAGTCGTGTTTCTGATTAACACTTTTGAAAATAACTGTGTGATGACGGTTGGATGAGCTTCCAGATTCTTCTATCTTTAAGTGTTCCAAACGTGCCTTTTCAGCTCACTTTTGGGAGACTTTTGAGTCGACTATTCATATCTCTATTCTCTCTCGTCTCTCTGTGAGAATCCCTAGTTCTTCGTATTAAGGCTTGAATTCTTTGAGTGTTCCAATGATAAAATTGTAGTGAAGAACCTGTAATATAGTAGATCCATCCACTCTTGTGTTGTGTGGTGTATTTGGTTGCAAGAACCTTAGTGGTTCGTGAAAAGGCAGTAGAGTTTTTGGGCAGATCTGAGTGATCTCGCTTGTGTTCTTGTTGAAAAGTGATCTATTTTTTATTCTCTTGCAAAGATAAGTCTTTGTGACTTGGTGTTATAAATTTCTAGAACTGTTGTATATTCTTGTTGCTGTTTTTAACTTATAGTGCAACCGAGCTTTATCCATTTATAATGGATGCTCAACAGGGATTAGGCGTTAGAAAGTGGTAGCCGAACCTCTAGGGCAATGGTCAAAAAATCCTTGTGTTGATCCTTTTATTTTTGCACTTTATTTCTGTTATTGAATGATTGATCATTGAACTTGGTTAATATTGAAGTTTTCTCGTTCTTTCAGTTTCCTACAGAAAGAAACACAGCTCACAATAGTAAATTTTTCACTCTAGGATTTCCTTGGTAGGACATAAATGCTAACATGCGAATCCTGCATCTAACTTGTTCCATCATTTTTGGTTGCCTTTCGACTTGAGGGTGTTGATTGGAACATTTTCTATTACAAATCACTTCTTTGAATGATTCCCGAGAAACTAAAATTATAGGCCAAATTCATTGGATTTCCATTATATTGATGGGTTTGGGAAGTAGTCTAAGATTTTACTTTAGAGTACGTTGTGACGTTATATGCAAGATAAATCATTTGGTAGTTTTGGGGTTCTAGACTGAGTCAATAACAACAAAGATGACTGGAATGCTCTTATGCATTCTATCTTTTTTTTGGAAGGTGAATGAAAACCTTTCCTTATGGAAATTTGTGATTTCTTGTGGACAAGTTATCTGGTAGTTATATAGCACGATTGGTTCGAGCGCTCACAAGCTCCCTAATTTTAACATTAGTTAGCTATTGAGATGTGACGTTGTTTCTGATTGCAGTAAAACATCTCTTTCTTGTGTCCACATGGGTGAACATGATTATTAGTACTTCAGAAAAATTCTCTGTTCTTAGTTAGGTGCAAGTTCATTACAGGAAACATCTTGTGTCTAGTTTGCTCATAGTTATTATTATTATTATTATTTATTTATTATTATTATTATTATTTTTTTGTGTATATGCGTGCTAAGCAGCACGAATTCGAATACAATGAGATACGATAGGGATACTCTGATATAGATTTAAAAAAAAAAAAAATTGGATACGGGATACTTATATTAAAAGTTTTAATACAATTATTTATTTTCAATAATAAAAGTTTTAATATTATTGTCTATTTTCAATAATAAAACTATAGTTGTCAATCACTAATACAATTTTATACATATTAATGGATTTACTTATATTGTTCATTTCCTATAATAAAACTCAAGTTGTGAATTAATTTGAAATTTTAGTTGCCAATTATTTAATACTATACACATCTTCAATAATAAGTGTAACATGTGTAGTTGCCTATTATCTTAAAACGCATTTACTTTTTTTGAAATTATGTTAATTAATAAATATTATCTATTTTCAATAAGTTATTGCTAATAACTATAGTTGTCTGTTAAGTAAAAATACTTTGTCATTCATTTCCAATAATAATTAATTTCGAAAGAGTTTAAAACCAATAAAATTCATGTTTTTCACATATCACAAGTGTTTGATATGTATCGAAAATTTAACAAACATAAAAAATTTAAAATAAATAATTAATTAATGAAATACGTATCTGGTACATATTCAAGAGTATTCAAGTTTGGATATTTATCGGATACAGGTATGCAATAAATTTACAAGTATCCATACTTCTTAGTAAGCATGCACTAGCTTATACTTAAAAGTCTTAATGACGGTGACATTGACATTTGATTGAGATATTGGTATCAGGATCTATTTGCCAACCTAAACTTTGACCCATCTAAATGAGTGAACCTTCACATTACCACAACCGCTAAAAAGTTTCCTACTTGTTAAATATTGGATTGACTTACAACTGGTCAACCCACTAACTCAAAAGATGGCCTGCTGTATCCATGTTATTTTTTCTTTTTACTAAAACAAAATGAGACCATTTTATTCTTCATGGAAAATAACGTTCTTTCCTTTTCAAATTAAATGAGATGTTTAGTTTGATGGGTTGTACGAATTTCCTATTTTTCATGCTGGTTAAATGGATTATTGCCATGAAATTGAAAATGATTTGGGCATGCTGTCCAGTTTCTAACCTAAAACTTGTAAAGACCAACCTCAACCAGTGGTTTAACGGATCATCTAAAAATTGCATCCTTATTCAATCTCATCTTTCAGTTGTTCTTATTTTTCCCTGTTGTAGACGCAAGAATGAAATGTATTATGGTATCTTACAAGTGTAATTTATCTTATTAAATTAGTTATCAGTGGAAGAGTCAGGATTTTCAAATTTTTTTGGGGGCTCTGCTCTACATCTTCCTCAGTCACCTGCCTCTATCACTTCTACTGGATGCAGTTCAGATGCACTCTATGCACATATATTAACAAAGAATTATAAAAAAGAAAAAAATTTCCCTCTTGTTAAGTGATTGCTCTGTTCAATTTGACACAATTTTTGTGGTAAGCGTTGAAGAGGTGCTATATATTAAAAAGAGAAATGAGCATTAAGTGGAACTCTGATCATTTCTTTACTATTACTATTTAAAAGAAGATCTTGATTTTCATGAGACTCTAGAAATGCATGACTCCCTTCAACTTCCATAATACATAGTATTGTATCATCTGTTGCTAGTGACAGACGTTCTATTATCAATTACTTACTTACAACAAAGATTTTTGGGATGTGTTCTGCAGTGTTTTTTGTGATGTTAGTCAGCATTGTATACCTAGAAAAAGGGGGAAGAAAAGGGAACACGAAAGTAACCACATTGTTTTCTTTAACTAGGTCTACCTATTTTTTATAGGATAATCATCGGTGTAAGATAACAATTTCATTGTAGAGCCTAGTGTGATTTTTAAATTGTGCATACAGTTCTCATTCTATTTCTGCCTTCCAGTTGTGTTAGCTTTATTTTTTAAAATCTTAGTTTAGATAAAATGTAAGTTATGCATTTCATAATTATTATTCTAATCATCTAGTAACATCCAGCCATTAACAACAGATATTCACATTTCTCTATGCAATTGTCTGAAGGTGACTCCTGATGTTCATTTTCAAAAGGATCTTGGATTGGATAGCTTGGACAATGTGGAGATTGTGATGGCTCTTGAGGAAGAGTTTAAGCTCGAAATTCCTGACAAGGAAGCTGATAAAATTGACTCCTGCCATCTTGCAGTCAAGTATATCCATAACCATCCAATGGCTGGTTAGGTTATGTGGATTTTTTGCGGTGCAAGTTCTGATCTGTTCTTGACAATTGAACAAATATTCTTCCAGCATTCTTAGACTTACTTTTCACGAATGCAAGACACGATTAAGTAAATAATGATGGTTATCCTTCATTGTATCCTTGCAAATCTATCTTTATTCTTTGTCTGTGAAATTAACATCGTTCTTTTGTCCACAGTGTTCGTGTAATTGTTTTTTCTACCGCATTTGTGCTGTGGAGCAAAAATAAAACTCAATTTAAAATCTTACAGTGTTCTCAGTGTTTAATTAATTTTAAAATGTATTAAGACAAAAGCACAATTAATTCTTCTATTGAAATTGCTTCTGAAAAAAAATATATGGGACTGTTGCAAACACTTGCATGGATTACATATTTACAATTTCCAGATTCGGAAGGTTTCTTAATCAGCAAAGATTCTTGCAACTTATATCACCAGATACACTTCATTCATATGCTCTCAATAGATAAATTGTCATGTACAGAATAATTTTGCATTAAACCTTAGGAATGAAATATGATCATCAGAATCTGATGAACTGAACAAGTTCATGGATCAGTTTGATCCTGTCTGAAGCATATTCAGAGCAGAGAGTGCGATTGCAGAGAGCTGAAAAGTATCACCATTTCTCTTTGTCAATGGAGAAACAACTCCTTTTTTATCCTTAAATCCGTCCTCACATGTTGTAGCATCATCCAGTATTGTGCTTAACTGTACATTAGTATCACTGTAGAGCTTTTTACTGTAATATTTCATGGCCTTTTTAGCAGAAGGGATTGCAACTGAGAAAAGTTCAAAGCAATCACTCAAACATTGCTTTGTATATGAACCCCATTTCTCGTTCTTCATCAAATTCTTGATGTAAAACCGCGTATCTGTCACATTGCATTTTATTAATCTGATTGAAATCTTCCCTAGTTCTTGTAAAGTGGCAGTTTGGCTGGCTGGATCTGCCTGAAGGGAAGTTGTGCAGAAATTGTAGTCGATGTTTGGATCATTTTGTGCGAAAATTTTGCAAGTTTCGTTGATTAAGCTCTGGGCTATCGTGCCCTGGGACATAATCAAGAAGGTAAGGAACAGCGCATGAAAAATGGGGAAGATGAAGAGGGACCTCATTTTTGCTTGGTTATTATGGTAAGTTATGGCTGCTTGTTCTTGCCTTTTTTTTCCCCCCCTCATGACATGATTTATATAGCTGTTCTAGTGATGGGTTGGTACATGCAGTTGGACCTTATTCTTTGATTGGAAATTTTATCTAAGTTTGTCTGGAAATAGCTGTCTTGACTTGGACAACTGAATTAAATTATTCGATATATATTCAATCTAACAAATCACTCTTTTTCTCAAATTGTTACCTAGTAAATAATATATACTCATAAATGAATTTTTCTGTTAAAGACAAGTTTTAGATAAATAATTGTCTTCTTTTTAATTATGTAAAGTTTAAACTTTAGATGGGAGCATTACTATGGTATCAGAGATTTTGTTACCACTCATTTATGAAAATTACACGTACATGACCAAGAACTAAATCCAATACATGCTACAATGATCTCGCATTGAAATCTTCAAAACTCTCATATTTAATTTCACACAATCATTTTTATTAAGCCTCTACTTGAGCCAAAGTTTTGGTAAAAAAAAAAATGAAAAATTTTACCATTATCAATCATTCAGCCGCAATTGTTGACACCTCTTCTTTCATGTGTGGGATCCGATCGAGGCTGCAATGTCACATTTTTCATTTTAGTGGAATGGAAAATATGGCCCAAACAAGGACTAAATGAGTGAGATAACAACATAAATAATTCAGTCAATTCAATATAATCCTTTGACAGATGTAAAATTCTCCATGGGGATAATAATTGATGAGTGATTCATGGAATGGATTAGTACCGGTTATATTTACTTAAAATTAAGTTATAGAAAAAGGTCAAAGTCTAGCTTAAATGGTAAGAGTGAAACTCTCTAATCAGTGGATTGAGTTTGAGCTCTCTTTGAAGAAGGGATGAAATCCGAAGAATCTAACGTTATAATCAACATCATTGACATTAAGTTGATTGTCTTTCGTCATAAAACCGTCCAAACAGAATGTATGATAGTGTCATTGTGAAGATACTGCATAAAGGCCTTTAAATTCTTATCTAAACTTGCATCACCATTTAATGAAATTTGGGTCCCCATTCACTAATTTCTTGCCTGTACGCATCGACATCATGTATGTTTAATGTCCAAGAATTGTGCTTTCAACGATAAGGTACTATATTTTCATACCTGTGCGCTTTTGTGTGCCAATAAATTTCGTTCATTCTAATGCACTAAAAATGTCTTTATTATTTTAAGGATAATGCTACATTTACCTACACATTTTTACTTTCACTAAAAATAGGAGGACGGGTCCCACAAAATGGATTTTTTAAATGCATGCGGGGCCCACGCACATGTAAGAGGACAATGCTACATTTACCTACACATTTTTACCTTCACTCACAATAGGAGGACGGGTCACACAAGCCCGATTTTTTAAATACACGCAGAGCCCACGAGCATGTGAGAGTAGGACACCAATTCGGTAACCCATTTTTAGTACATATATATTATCCTTGCTTTAATCTCATATGCTTTAATGCAAGTGGCCTTGAACTTGGTTTAGAGTTATGGAATAGAAAATACACTTACAAAAGATTTTAATCACCACTACTTTGGGCATATTTAATAAGGCTTTTGAAAAGTTAAAAGTTACTTTTGGTACTAAGAAAAATAATTTTAAATATATTTAAATAATTTTTAGAGCATTTTTGCCTGGTTAGTACGTAAGATAATTTTTTTAAGAAGTCATTCTACAAAAAGTATAAGCAAAAACAGAACCCTCATCGATTCTATATAATATATGAAGCCCTTATAAAACCTAGGAAGATATAGTAGACCTTACATTGAAATCTCAAATTCCTTTGGTGAATAATTGCCTGGATCATAGAAAATGCAAACTTCATGACAATTTTACATTCCCCCCAATACAATATTACCTCAATACCTACTTTTTTTAACTTTCATTTTCAAAAATAAGGTATCAATAAATTTTTTTTCCCTTCCACATCAAAAAAATCAAGTATATCAACGCCAAGCTACCAACCCTACACCATCCCACCCCTCTAAACCAAACCCTCCCTCTCTCAACCAAGCCCTAAACTGCTATCAATCCACTCCAAGCCCTATGGAGTTGCCACCTTCACTCTACCCCCAAACCACCACGTACATCGCTAGACCCACCACCTACCGTCGAAGAAATCACTTCCCAAACATAATTCCCACCTCCATTAGCCCTACAACATCATACGATGCCTAAAATCTGCAATAACCCTGTGGAGCTGCCAACCTCAATCCAGCCTGAACCCCCACCTATAATCAACGGAATTACATTCCAAACACAACATCCACCTTCAATTGGTCCCCACAACACCAAGTGGAGACCAAATTTTGCAAGAAAAAGCTTCGGGGTTCGTGAATTGTGAATTTTGAAAACTTTAAATCCAACGTCGTTGATGAGACTTACCATTCAGACATATACCCATGACGTCGCCACTCTATTCCACCACAATTCTAGCCATGGGTCTTCATCAATTGGCACAGAATTAGATTAGGAAATCATTGTCTCGCAATGCGTCCAAAACCTCAAGGCGGGTATTGTAAGGTGACTGTAGATCTGTGATGGAAAGAGGAGTGCGACCATTTTGGTGGTGGTTGTGGTTTTAAGGTGGTGAAGGTGTGTTGACTGTGGCAGTGGCGGTAGATTTGAGACAAAAGTGGTAATGGTGGTTGTGAATTTGAGGAAAAGGTAGTGGTGATGGCAAATTACGTTGTTCAGACCTTAGGGTGGGATACATTAAATAATGTATGTGATTAATGAATGGGATAATTTATAACTAATAAAAAAATTTGTGACCTATTAAATGTATAATTCACAAATTGTATTTTTGTTACTCTGACCTCGTGTGATTTACAACTTATATGTAATCATGACCATAAATAATGTGTAACGCAATGTCTTCCCGTACACATGAAGGATCATTCTGAATTTTAATTATTTTTAAAATTGTATTTTGAAACATTTGTAATTATGAAATTTTCCCTTCTCCACAGGGAGTCAAGGAATCAAATAAGTAGATTACACGTATTATTTTGAATTTTGTAAACAGAAAGCATAAATAATCAGCCCATCTCCCTCGATTTACTGACCTGAAATTTTTTTACGAATCTCTCGTTGAATTCGGAAGTGTAGAAAATTGAGGCTGTCCAGTTCACCTCGATTGCATATCCAAGCTGATTGTACTCTCCTTGAAGTTGATAGCGAAGCTCATCTTATAATTTCCTCTTATCAATCAAATCCCTCTTCACCTCTACTGCTATCTCCAAACATTGCAGCCATTTTCATGTCCAGTTCTACTGCGATTTCCCTCCTTTGGAAATCAGCCATTAACCTCAAACTGCTGCGCATGTTCCCGATCTCACACATGAACATTTCCAGATCCTCAAAATCATAAGCCTTACCCTCATCAGGCTCTGAAATTCTGTCAGCTTCATGTGCCTCGGGTGTGAAGGATAGTGCTCTTCTTCGACAGATCTGACTTCATTATTGCAATCAAAGTTCTTTGAGTCAGGTTACCCTGCAGATGGTTCCCCAGTCATTGTCCCATGGTTCTGCGGATAAGACTTCATATTCAATATGTTTTTGATTTATAGTCATTCACATTTACCGATAAAAAAAAAAAAAAAAAAAAAAAATTTTTTTTAAGTTCATTCTCGGATTCTTCTTCTGATAAATCTGACAAAAAATTAGTCAAAATATGCAGTTGGTGGAATACCGCTTTAACCGTTTGAACTAAATAACTATTTAATGCATGAAGGGTTTGGTTACTTTACAAGTAATGAATGTAATAAGTTACAGATTTCAATACTCTACTTCTTAAATAATTCAAATCGTATTTGAATTGGGCCATTGAAATATGAAAAAAATACATTAAATAAAAGATGGGGAGAAATCATTAAATACTTCTTGAAAAAATGAAAAATAAGTAGCATTGTTGGAACTCTCTAAATTTAAAAACACTCTTGTTATACATAAGATGCTACAGAGTTTCTTGAAGATACTCTAAGATTTAAGTTCATTCTCGGATTCTTCTTCTGATAAATCTGACAAAAAATTAGTCAAAATATGCAGTTGGTGGAATACCGCTTTAACCATTTGAACTAAATAACTATTTAATGCATGACCATGACAAGGGTAGAATGTAAAACCTTCTTTCAGGTAATGAAGGTTCATTTATCTTATTGCCAGACTTCAAGGACATTCCAGGCCACGTGTGAGCAGAGAAAGCCCCATAGAGTCGTTCAACACCCTGCAAATCACCATCTATGGATAGACCTGCAACGAAAAGGTGACAAAATATTAACCATCTCTATCAACAGTGCATAAGAGCAATGTCCAATAGACTCTTTAAATACAAGATGCTTTCTATTTTATACGAGTCAATACTTAAAAATAAGCTCTACTATATAACTTTTAAAAATAGAGAAAGGGTTTGGTTACTTTACAAGTAATGAATGTAATAAGTTACAGATTTCAATACTTTACTTCTTAAATAATTCAAATCGTATTTGAATTGGGCCATTGAAATATGAAAAAAATACATTAAATAAAAGATGGGGAGAAATCATTAAATACTTCTTGAAAAAATGAAAAATAAAGAGCATTGTTGGAACTCTCTAAATTTAAAGATACTCTTGTTATACATAAGATGCTACAGAGTTTCTTGAAGATACTCTAAGATAGATAGAATGATTGCCATTTTAGCTAACAGTCACTCGAGTTTCCAGATTTAGTGGAGATCAGTTGCAACACAGCGCCAGATTGAAGAGCAAGAATGCTATGACAGTCTTACATTTGTCAAAATAAGCATTAGATGCACACACTTCGATGTATTCAATGTTATGTTCAATGCACCATTCCAAGCATTGCAAGACTTTGTAATCTCTGATGATGGTTCATCTCCCAATAAACTACTCCCTTCGGTTTCAGAAATTCCATAGTAGTCTAGACTAGAACTACCAGAGGATTCTTCACGCTTCAGCAGGCATCTCCTGTATTCAGCGTGAGCTGGATGACGAGGAAGAAGATCCATTTTTTTACCAATACATAGCAGTATATCAAATTTCTGAATATCAATTTGCTTCACACATTTTTTAAGAGCAGCAAAAGAAGAAAGCTGAGTACAATGGCACGAAAGAAGACATGTCACTGCACTCAATGTTATAGTGGGACAACATCCTGCACATTACAGAAACATTTGCAGAAAAGAGATGGAAGTTTAACCATTAATCTGCACAAAAGAGGAGGGTAAAGGACAAGGCTTACCTCATCAACATTGAACACCATCACCGGGGCAGATAGCTTATCAGCCATTGGCAGGCTCGAGATTGAGAACTCGCTGTGAAGATGAGCCATCCAAACTGAAACATCAGCTGTATAGTATTTTGTGTTGATTGTCCAACTGTTTAAGAAACCAGACTCATAGTTATCATTAAATGATGAAAATCTTCTTAAAGAGGGCGCTAATTATCATCCATTGGATACTTGCTGAGTGCTTTGCTGCTTGGAACTTACCCATAGGCAAGTAACTCGGATGAGTCTGATGATGGATTGGGGGCATCTTCAAAATCCACAGGGAGTAATCCTGTATTCAAAATATCTGAAATGAGAGATCTGTGTGCTAGATCAAGAAAGAAACCTACAATTCTACAGAAGCACGGCTACAAATTAATCACTGTTAAAGCACGTAAATAATGCATGGAATATACATTTTGAGCGTACCAAAATCAGGTTATGGCATTTCAAAATATCACCATGATATTACATTAAAATATTTCATATGTTTTAGTAACTCATCACTGTGCAAGCTAGCAGGTTTCATGCTAAGCTTAAAAGACAATGAAGAGGTCATCACAAATAGAGATAGATGCAGCCAGAAAAAGACTCAAAACAAAAGAGGGACATATAAATATTAGAATTATGGAACATATCTTTATCCGACCATAAATTTTTGGTTAAACAAGGTCCCAATTGCTGAGAGAAAAAGCTGTACAAAAGATCTATCTGCTCTTGCTTTCTCTCCCCATTTTTCCCCTATTGAGTATTGGGTCAAGAATTTGAAACAATTCAATCGATACTATCTCCAATAGAAATCGCCATAAAGGATTTGTAATTTTAAAAATACCAGTCCAGTTCCTTATTGTTTTTCCTTATGAACAATAAATATAAATTTACTCTGACTTGAGGGCTATCACCATCAAACCATTATTCACCTATCAGGCCTGTTGTCGGGCCATGACCGTGCAATCAATTAACACCAGAACAGCAGTCATCCAGATGTCTCACAACCAACCAACATACCCGAATCACCAGCCTGCTCATCAAGCAGCGCTGTAAATGTTATGAATACAAATTCCATAATTAACCAACGGTCATAAGTACCCTCCGGTACCTCTTTTGAAGAGCATTAAGAATTTCCAAATTCCAGATTCAAGATTTTGACAAAGTACATAACTAGATCATGAGGAGATGTAGAAAAGTCCTCGACGCTTTCTATGTCTAGTTTATATTAATAGTTTTCATTAGTTCAAATGCCTTTTACCAACAAAGCATATTGAATTTTCCTCCAGTTGGAACATAACACACACTAATCTTTAAAACTTTTATCAATTCTCCTTAACAATTCCAGTAAGAATTCGTCTACAGCTCTGGACCTAAGATCTCCACATTTCTTCACATATTCTCCTGCTTCAATACACTCTAAGACATATCATCATATTAGTTTCTCCTTGCTGCTGCCTCTACCTGTCTGATCATTCACATTATCCAAAATCCCTTTAAATGATTTCCATCAACTTAATTGCGAGTAATGATTCATTAACTTTAAAATCCAATTACCAAAGGGTATCATATTCTTCAAATGTGTTGTGTTTCTTACTCAAATCAATTGTGTAAGTACATCCGTGAGAGTTAAATGATCAAATAAAATCAATGAAGAAACCAATCTAGAGAGTAAGAAACTTACGGGAAAGGATGGTCCGTTTACCATCGCTCTGGGAGCCTACCATGATAAATCCAGGTCTCTTCTCCAGGGTCTGCATATGGGACCTTTGGGTCAATGGGAAAAAAAAGAAGGATGCCCGTGAAATATTTTAAGAAATAACTTGAGGACTACTGTAAGTGGAGCCGTGCAATTAGGCACAAAACATGGGAGTTTTGTATCCATTGAGAAATACATATTGTAATTATACACAAAGTCAAAAAACATATGTGATATTCCACTGACGCACTGAAGTGCATAGTGTCATTATGAGATGAATAAACAAAATTGTAAAAGCCTAGAATATTACGATTCCAGTTAAAATTTCTCCTATTTGTCTTGTTACCTGACCTCGCAAGTTAGTAGTCCGAGCGAAGGGGTTCGTAAGAAAGCTTGTCTTCCTCGCCACGTTGTACGGAATCATAAGCTTGTCGATGGTACAGATCATAGATCACATACTCCATTGCCATAGAACGTTGTAGTTATAGTTGACTAGGCATGAGATTGCTCAAATGTTTGTGCAGAAGAAATTTCATTATATTTCAAGGCTCTGGGTGATTTCAGTTGGTAACTCGATCTTACCATAAACTAAAATAGTCCTAACTTGTGTAGACAACTCGAGTAAAATTCATTTTCCCAAAAACCCTCATTCTCTGGTTTCGATAACCAGCAACGTATCATCAAAACCAGATGCCATAACTTCAACCAAATAAGTAAACTCAGCTAATTAATAGATTAACCATGAAAAATTACTTCAAATGATATCAAATTGAAGCCCTTTCTGAAATTGTGATATTTTTCTTCTGAAAAATTACAACCATCTCACTGTCAAATCTTAGAAAACTAATCCATAAACCACCAGAATCAGCAAAAAATAAAGATGACAATACTATCATATCCACCTAGATTTCTTCAAACTTGTGCGCCAAAAGACCTAATACTTTGAGAAGATAAGAATTTCTTCAAAGCTACACCAAATCAAGGAAATCCCAAAATTACAACTTCTCTCAATTTACAATAGGATTTTATCATAGCAAACTAATAGATGCAACTACATTAAGTGCTATCATACATCCTACCTATTCTTAATTTCTTATACATATTACAGTCATTACTTAGCTCATCAAGAAAAATAAGGACTCTAACGAGTATAGTTTGATTCTTACGATTACAAGCCAGTAAATAAAGGCATGGATTCGAAAAAATATCTAAAGCCCACAAACTCGAAACTACAAACTTGAAATTATCTTCGAGTCTTTGACTTTGAAATTCCAAACTATCGACTTCTCCTCTTCTCCCAATGTCGAAAGCCACTTGCCGAACGTTTATGGTTGGATTCCAGCCAAAGAGATCAGAGAATAGTCGAACAGAGAACTGATACTGAGAGAGCACTGGGGTTTCGATCGTTTGATTCAGAACCAAATTTTGACCGTGCGTTGGGTAATGGCGGGGCTGGGCCTTCGCTTTTAAATATTTTGGGCCTCATGAGTAACTTCATTTTTGGGCTGGGCGAGCTGGAGCCCACTTAAGCCCAATGCTAGATTCCTTCAAACTTCTTATTTTGTTTTTAAATTTTTAAATTTAAATCATATTTCAAAAAATAAAAAATTAATTAATTACATTAGAGGTAAATGAGAAGTTTTTAAATCCGAATCCACCTCCTAAGAATCCTTGACGCAAGGATTGGAATGACTGTTGTCGTCGCTATTTGACGCTATCCTAATTATTAATATTTTATGATGTATCCCAAATGTCTCGTTAATCAACATTAAACCTTTGTTGTACTAGTAATGCTATTTAGCATCGTTAGTACTAAAACATTAATTTAGGTGACACTAATGTGACATTACAAGAAAGACATAATCAAATAAATTATTTAATTCTATCTTTCATTCAATTTATCATTTAGTTTCACCTAAACTGGTGTTGTAGTACCAGTGGTGCTAGATAGTTTATTCTTGTTGTAATAGTTTAACTTTTCTCTTAGCCTTAATTATTGGAAAGCTAGTTGAACGAGCTCAACGATAGAGGCTGTTTTCAAGGGCTAAAATGGCAGTTTATGATTGGCAATTTTTTTAACTACCAATGAAAAATTGTCAAATGTATATATGTATAAAACCATGTCATTGACCATGTGTTCTTGAAACATCTCTCTTAATTGTTAACATGATCGAATCCCGATCCAGCTCCAACCCAGTCCTTTTCAGAATTTTTTTTTTTTTTTTGGGCAACTTAAATAAATGATCTAAATTTTGGAGTGATTTTTAAAATCATTATAAACAAAGGCTAAAATATAAATACTGTTATTTCACCTCCAAAACCATAAGAAATATGGTGTAGAAATCATAAACACAAAGCTCCAAATTAAGCGGAAATTCGAATCCACCAAGCTCCAAATCAAGCAAAATCGAAATCACAAGAGAAAATATTGTACAAATCAAGCTCAAGCAAGATCAGGAGTTGCTTCAACTAGAGATTTTTATTATTTCTGATTTTTTATTAAATTAGTTCATATTTTGTTTGATTTTGATATTGTTGAGGTTTATTGTTATAGTATGTACGAGATTTCATCTTTGAATTAATAATTTTGAGTTAGTATATAAAATATATAAAATTTAGAATTTTATGAATTGGATTGAATTAAAATATATAAAAAATCAATTTTGGATCAATTCAATTTATGCATGCAAGGTGTTTATGAAATTGAGAATATGAAAGTGGAATCTCTGTCACATTTTTATTTATTTAAATTTTTTTTTTTGTGTGGGTTGCAATCCACCTCATTCGAATTCCTTTGTATCAATTAAATATATGCATACATGTGTGTTTGTGAAAATTTAAAGATGAATATGCATTGAAACTTTATTTTACATTAAAAAGTGATTTGATGTAGCACTTTTTTTGTATTTTTGCATGATATTAAGATGTTAAATCTTGAAAGTGACATTCTCTGTCACTTATTTCTAAAAATATTGCAATCTATCTTATAAAAATTCTTTAGGATCAATCAAATGGAAGGAAGCATGTATGTTTGTAAAAATTTAAATTTAAATATAAAATGAAATCTTGTTCTATATTAAAAAGACATGTGATATAATATTTTATTTATATTTTCCATATGAATTAAGATGTTAACTTAAAAGTGGCATTTCGTCACTTTTTTTCTAAAAATATTGTAGTCAAACAATTATGTAGATGCATAAACGTGTATTTGAGAAAACTTAATTATGAATATGAATTCAAACATTACTTTACAATAAAAAATTACATGATAAAACATACGAATTATTTGTTGAAATTAAAAGTAACACACATTGTTAATTTTCTAAAAAAGTCTCATTTAATTTCATTTGCATTTTTTGTAGATATGGATAAATTTAACATCTTCATTTGTTATGGACGTAGGTCGAAACAAGATAACAAATATGAAAGTGACAAAATGATTAAAATTGTTGTCCCAATATATTCACAAATAACAATTGTTGTGAAAACATATCATATCACTTGTTTTAAGAATCTAAAATTTTTCACTATTAAAATAAAAAGAAATTAAGTTTCCTTTATTGTCATTTATATGCAATTTCATCAATAAAACAGCTGACATAATCTTATATTTACATATAAGCTAAATTTGGTGATAGTAATATGAATATAATAAAGTGTTTTACCATGTCACTTTTTTGAAAGAGCCAATGTATATCAATACTAAAAATATCATATCACTTTTTATATAAAAGTGAGATATCACATCTATCTAAACCAATATCTTGTTGTATGATTAACTCTTAATCATATAAAAATTAAAAAGAGAAAAGAAAGACCATTAGATAAAAGGTGATAAATAATCAAGAAAGACACAAAAACTCAAGAAAAAAAATGATAATTAATTTGGGAATAATTAATTTGAGAATTTCTAATTATTATTAGTTTTAAGGATGTTAATTTAATATTTTATTTTTTAAGGATTGTGGGCCAAAAACTAGAACGTTCTTGTGTTTCTTTTATGCTCTTGATAACTTTTTGAATAAATTTCAGAATACCTCCCAAGGATTATTACAATTTTAGAATGGGTGATTATATTGACATCACAATTTTTATTTGTTATAATACATTTTAATTGTAGTTAAAATTCTCAATATATGCTTGCTGTAGCTTTTTTTTTAATTACTTTTTTTGGTTGAATTTTTATCTGATACCTTCCATTAATTAGTACTTCTTGTCCTCGATTATAATTTTTATCAAAATATTTTATTTTTATGCTTTGAAATGATAGAAAAATATTTTTTTAAACTTTCTATTTTTTCAAAAATATGATAAAAAAATAAGTTGTTTTATTCAATTTCAACGAACTTTTGGACATAAAACTTTTATAAAATACAAACTATGCTAAATAATAGAAAGTTTCAGTTTGGGAATGACATGAAACATTGTTAGGGATGTAAGTGTTATAATGAGTAAAGATTAAGAACTTTAAATGCAATTAAAATGTGGTGCAAAAAATAAAAAATGTGGTGTGAATATAATTTCCCTTTTAAAAACCTCTCATGATTTTGAAAATTACAGAAACGTCCTCTAAGATTGTTTTCAATAATGGATTCTCCCCTTGTTAGCTAAGAGTTTATCTTTATTTCCTATTGTACCTTTTGGTAATTATAATGCAATTTTATACTATTATTGAATAAAATTTTACTATTTTTGTTTATCCTTTTAATTTTTTTCTCATTTATTAAGATTTTATCATTCAAATGCTAACGTTACTTTTAGCTAAAATAAGTATTACTAAATCGATGCAATAATGTTTGAATAAAATCATATTTTTTTAATCTTTATTTTTTATAATTGTAACATTTATAGGTATGACAACAAGTTGGGCGAATTGTGTCAAGTCGAGGTGTGATCACCTACCTTGCCCTATCGGTCTCCATTGGGAATTTTGGGCTATAGTCAAGAATCAACGAGGAGGCAGGGCATGAACTAAAATATTCTTGTCTAATTTTCCTTAATTTTCAAAATTTAATTTAATTTTAAAAGATGATAAATAATAATCGGGCTGAGGCAATGTGAGGTGTGACATTTTTCCATTCCTAAACAATTGTACTGTATTGTTTAAAATGGTAAAAATACATTAAACTAAATGGTCTTGTGGTAGTAGAAAGAATACATCGAAAATCACATTGAGGAAAATCAAAGTTATTAAATTCTTTTCTTCTCTTTTCTTTTTGAAATTTTGGATCAGTTTTATTCCCTATACAAATATAGTTTTATATTAGCATAATAAAAAGGTGAAAATGGAGAATTTATGTTAATAAGGGAGTTTTCTGAAATTGTGAGAAATCTCAAGGGAGGTTTTTATGAAATTTATCACACCCCCACGCCTCCCCTTTTATTTTGGTTGCAGGATTGAAAAATGAAAATCAAATTTGAAAGATTTTAATGAAAAGTATAGCACCTGCTTTGTAAGAATTAAAATCTAAATTTTAATTTAAATTAAAGTCAACAATTAATTTTAATCACATATGAAATTCACACCTTTATATCCATACATTTTATCTACTTTTATCAAAATCTACTAAAATTATTATTTTAATCTCCTACAAACAAATAAGGGCATAATTTCTCTTTCCAATTCAAATCCCTATTTTTATTTTTATTTTTGGATAATGAACAACAACATCAAGGGGCACACATTATGAATTCATGTCCCTAACATTCAAAAATAAAAATTTACATTAATCATCAAGGATTGATTGCTTTGGCCTGCTGTGATTTAAGAAAGACATTGTGACCTATCATTAAACCGTTAAACAATCTCAACAAAATATTTTTTCTTCAAAGTCACAAGTATCATAACATTTTTGCCCGCAAAGTCACAAGTATTTTATTGAAAACAACAAAACATGGAGGTCATAATGGTACTCACAATTACAAAATATTTTTTCTCCAATTTTCACGACACCTTCTGCTTTTCGTTCTTCAATTTTCGACAATCCCACTTTGATCTTGCCAGCCTATCCCATGAATGGATCCTTCTTGCTTTGCACAGGGTATGAAATACAGACAACAAATTGAACAAAATGCACAAGAAAACCCAATGGAAAGAAAATGATGAAGATTTAGGGTTTGCAATTGAGGGTCCGGATTAGGCGATTTTCCAAAATGTGAGGGCTGATGATATAAGTTAGCGTGATCTTAGGGATTTAGTGTTTATATATCCCCTCCATCTTAAAAGCGGGAATCCCAAGTCACTGTTCATTTGTGAATTTCCTCTCTCATTTCATTGTTCCATATGTGGAACAAACATCAAGCATTTTTCTGTCTTATCGTTTTCCAAATACTTTCAGCCTTATCTTTTCACTTTCACTTTCCCTTTTAGCTCCCGATCTCCTCTCTCTCTCTCTCTCTCTACCCCTTGGAAATCTCCTTTGTCCAATCTGAGCTCAGAGCCACACCCAAAGCAGTCAAAATTCAAGACGAAAATGCTAGGTTGTCTTGCCGCTCAACACATTTGTGAGATCCGTTAAGCCTTTTGTCAATTTTCCCAACTCCTCTATTTTATTTTTATGGTTATTTCAATTTTAAAATCTCTACCTAACCCTCCATAATTGCTGTTGGGAAATTTTGAGAATCTGTAACAATTGCAACCACCATTTTTCTATTGTCCATAAATCGTAATATCGAAGCAATGGATTTCACCCATACTAAGGTTCCGAATTCGAAGAAGATGAAGATGAAGTGAAACTATGTAGATCATCATTCGAATAGCAGGTATGAACTAAGGGTAAGTTATGGTTACAATCAGGGGTGGAGTCAGGATTTATGTTCAGTGCGGGCATCATTTTTCGACGTCGAACTTCGAGATTTTGGTCATAGATTTAATGATGATAAAAAAATAAAACAATATTACAACAACACTAAAAACGACATAATTTATATATTAAACTTGTTCCTTGTGAGTTTTCATAATTTGATATCGTCGTACAATAACTTCATTATCGAGTTTCAAAAATATATCTCTATCTACATAAACAATTGTGCTATCATTTATCCATTAATCACCCATCACCCATCTGATTGTGCAATCTATTCTTTATGATGCTCATTGCAGAAAAAACTCTCTCCACAGTAGCGGTAGCAACCGGTAAAATCAATGCTAAAGCCAAAAGTTTGTAAACCAATGGATATACCTTATCTTTCTTTGTCAAAACTAACTTCTCCGCAAGATCATCAAGGCCATTCAACCCTTCAAACTCTTTGTTAGAGCGCATGTCAAAAATATAAGTCTCAAGTTGATCGCTAAGCACAATGCCATCTACTGCAGAGAAATCTAATAGATAAAGCTCAGCAAGTCTAATCAAGTTTTTCTTGTCAAAAGAAGAAAATGAATCTTGTGGGCATAAACAAGCTGCACAAAGTAGTAACTTTGTATTTACCTTTGAGAAACGATCATTCAATTCTTGAAGTTGTAAATCAATGACAGAGTAAAACAAATTTACTCGATAATGATGTAAATTTGTAATTTCTGGAGAATTACGCTGAGGGCGACCACGAATTGCAAGGCGTACAAACATATCATCCATGTTGGGTACATGAATGTAATGTTGTTGACAAAAAGAATATACTTCTTCCAACAAAGGAGTCCCACCCTTCGTCTCTCATTATTTGGAGTCGTCGTTTGCACAATCTCACCAATTGTATTGCATTCACAATATCTTGATCTTTTCTTTGCAATGCCTTTGACAGTTCATTTGACATCCCCAACACACTTTTCATCAACTGTAGATTAAATGCAAAATCAAAATTTTCTATCAACTCCAATAAATTTGTTGCATCGGATCTTTGATCACAAGAACAAGAACAAAATTCATCCTCAACAATCATTGCAAGTACATCTAAAACAGAAGAGAACATGGCAAGCAAGCTGACCAAAGAATTATATGTGAACTCCATCGTGTATCACCAGAGCACTGAAGGATCGTTTCTTGATTAAGTCCCCGTCCACTTAAAATCTCACATTTTTCCAATGCCTCAACAATAAAGTCTAATTGTTTTTCTCGAAGAAGATCACAACGTTTGGAAGATGCTCCAACAGTATTTATTACGTTCCCAACCACACGAAAGAAGTTAGTAATATGGATGTTCTTCTTTGCCATAGTCACAAGCGCAAGTTGGAGTTGATGAGCAAAACAGTGAATGTAAAAGGCACATGGACTCTCCTTCAAAATGAGTGTTTTCAGACCATTAAACTTACCTTGCATATTACTTGCTCCATCATAACCTTGTCCTCTCAATCTAGACATATTCAAGTTATATCTAGAAAATACCTTATCAATTGCAGCCTTAAGTGATAGAGCTGTGGTACTTGTAACATGTTCAATCCCTATGAAGCCTTCATTGACATGCCCAATATTGTCTACATAACGTAAAATAATAGACATTTTCTCCTTCATTGAAACATCACAACATTCATCAACTAGAATAGAAAATAGTGAGTCGCCAACATCTTTGATAATAACATTGATCGTTTCAATAGCACAAGCATTTACTATACCTTTTGAACATCAAGTGATGTCAATTTGCAATTGTGAGGAGCATTTTCCAGCGTGACGGCATTGATAACTTCATTATGAGCAGCCAAAAATTGCAACTGCACTAAGAAGTTACCTGGATTAAGAGAATCCTTAGATTCATCATGACCTAGAAATGAGTGCCCTTGTTGCAAAAGAACTCGAACACAATCAATGGATGTATTAAGGCGTGTAACATATGCATTTCTTGCTTGTTCTGACTGTTTGTAGAAAACTGATTGAATGTGTTGCTCTTGATTCATCAACACTTCACACTTAATGCGAGCTTGATTATATGCACTATCATGAAGCCCAACATGAGTATGAAGCCTTTTTTTATCTTTCCAATATGTAAAACCTTCGCCAACAAAAGACTCACCTCCACCTTGCTTTCTAGAACTTGTTCTGAAAAGATAACAATACAAACAATAAGCAGCATCCTTCTCTACACTGTACTCCAACCAACTACCGAACTCTTTAAACCACGAAGGATTGAATCGTCTAATTGTTACTCCAAATTGTCGTTTTGGAAAGTCATGATCTTTGGGCTGACAAGGACCCTTTAACATATATGCTCTTCGAACTTCATCTCGAATGTTAGCATTATAATCCAAAATAGGTATCCTTAGACTAGGATCAGTTGGAAGTTTTGTGACATCAAATTTCACATTATTCGATACCCCCTAATCAACATCCACATTATTTGATACCCCCTCATCAACACTATCTACGTTCCTTTTTCGTTGAAAGTATCTATTCATTTGATATCTGAATTTAAACATTTGATATCCAATTATTATTTGAAGTGAGTGAGAATAATTCATAATGACAAAAGGATCATAAATTCACAATTTTACAATTTCAATTCGCAGTGCAATTCACATTTCACAATCAATCCAATTCACAATTTCACATTATCAATCTAATTTCACAATATCAATACATATAACTGACCCACTAAATAAATACTAATGTTGCAGAACTTGATTATTGCATTGACCACTTATTTAATTAGGTGAATAATTAAGACCTTATTAATTGCCCTTTTAAATTCATTCTTATCTCCACTAGCACACGATTTGTGCATTTATAGGGCAGTTCTGTCCACTGGTCTTTTTATTATTTTTCATTTCTGTATCTGCACTTATTTATACACTCCAATGTATACATACGCATATACTTGAATATACAAATCCTTTGTAATAGATATTTACGATTTTTGTTTATACTCTACTGTCATTTTCATTTTTTTTCCTGATCTTGTTTAGTTAAGATTTAGGTAAAAACTAAGAGAAAATGAACTACAACAATGAGAGGTGACTTCAGTTTCTTCAAATGGGCTGTGCTAAATTTTGTGTTTTGGTTAGTGGTTTTGTTTAATTCTGCTTCAATTTGATGAACAAACCTGAGATAAATTGAGATCCTTCTTGTTTATGATCTTAATTTATTGCTAAAAATGCATGTTTAGATTAGATTCATAATGTGAAATTCAATTCTTTTTAATATGAATAACTCATATAAGTTGATAACAATGCTACATCAACATATAGCAGCCAAGTTTATTTTTGTATTTAAGTGATTCAGTACTTGGAAATTGGAATGGTCTAATGAGCGAGTGCAGCACCGTTCGAGAAATATATGGAGAACTGCCTGAACTGGAGAAGGCTGTCAAAAAAATTCAGCAAATTACATTTCTGAATTTATTATGATCCAAAAATTGATGACAATCTAACTTCATAATTGCCAAAATCTGAAAATCAGTTACTATCTTCTTTCCAGGGGACTCAATTTTTAAATTCAGATCTTAACTTCAAGTCTTCAACTGGAATTAGAAAGATGAACTTAATCAATTTCTCTACACCTAACAGAGTAACAGCATTTCCAATTCCACGATAGAAATATAAACCCATGAGACCCATCAATAATTAACCAGTAACATTCATAAATTAAGCAAAATCGTAAATACAATTTTCAATTTTTAGAATTTTCCACACTTCATCTTCACTGAAACATACATTAGGTAAGTAAGGTAACCTTCAATCACCTTCTTAGTTCTTCGTTCTTCTGGGCTCCGGCTTCGGGTTTCTCCAATCTCCAGTGAATCAGTTCTTTCGTTGGGCAGCTTGGGCCGACAGACGCAGTGGCAGGCGGTGGACTGGACGTCTGGAACTGTTAGTCTAGAAGTCACCAGTCGGCGCCTGTGAGTTGGAGTAGCGACTAGCGACTAGCAAGAAGTGGCGATGGCATTGGGTCGATCGGTTGAGAGAGACGCGATTCAAGTTGCAAGGGTTTGGTAATGGGTGTGAATTGAACGTAAATGGGTTAATTGATTCAAGATGTCGGGTCGGGTCATTAAATGACACATGGACTGCAGGAAATTAGGCCTTTTTAATTAACCAGGCTTTACCCAAACCAAAAAAAAAAAATTTGTTTTGGGCCTACTGGAGCCCAAAAGTTCAGTGCGGGGGCTCCGCCTCTGGTTACAATAAATGTCGATTACATTTTTTCTTTCAATTTTTGGGGGTTTTCGTTGAACATTTTCATCCTGTAATTGTTGTCATTGTGATTTTTCTGCTTTATTGATTTAGATTTGGATTTGATTTCTGAATCGGTTCCTTTTCAATGGTTCTTCAATCACACTAATTTTTTCTTCAAGTTGAGTCATCAACGTTGAACGTAGTTGCTACATCTTTTATTTTTTATTTTTAACTCAAATAACCACTCTTTTTTTTTTTCAAATCTCTACCTATTGCTTTTGAAAAGAAGATTATTATTTAGGATTGTGCTTGTGTCGAATTCTTGCATTGATTCATGAATAACTAATAAGTTGCTTCGATTTTCATCTGCTAGGCTTCAAGATTGAGCTTTTTTGTTCATCTTTGGAATTAAATGATGATTGTGGATTTTTAGTCAAGAATGCTTGTTGGGTTTTACCATTCTTAATTAATCTTCTGTTTCGATTGATTTTCTTGATTTCGGGTTTTTTTCTATTGGTAAGCAGAAATAAAGTACATTTTTGTTTTCATGAATAAGAAATGGGGTACTTTTTCTTATAGATCCACTCTTACTGATTCCTTTAAGAGCACATTATTGTTAGCTTTTTTGCATAACAAAATTAAAATTTAAAATCGAAAAAGAAGAGGAAATAATAAAAGCATACTATTGTATTTTTTTTGTTATACTTCTTATTTTTATTATTTGTTTAGGGAACTTTAAAGTCAAGATTAGTTCAAAGTAAATTTCTTTTTTAAGTTCAACAGCTTATTATTGTGTTTTCTTCCATGTGGAGGGGTGAAATTCCTTAGTAGTAGATGATGATTTTTTCGTAAATAAAGTGAAGATTAAGTGGTTTAGTTTAAGGGGTGCCTGAGAATGCATTTTTTTGGGAGGATTAAATGTTATTTTTGTCATTGGAATTTCAATTGTAGAATAAAGTGTGACTCACTTAATTGAATATGAGACACAGGCTTGTCCAATGAGACTAGGAGTCTTCTTCCTGGGTCCTTCGATGGGAGTAATGAAGAGGAAGGGCTCCAATATTATGTTTAGGCCCCTACCTTTGGGGTAGATGAACAACTACATAAGACTCCAAGCCATATGTTCTTAAATGGGTCTAGCGAGGTTGTTTCACTTTTTATCCAGCAAGGCAAGAAAGGAACCAATCAAGATGTCATGCTTGTTTAGGAGTTTCTTTGCATTAAAGCAATTAGATCAAATATTATTATTGATATTGTTTCAAACTTTCAATTTTATTTAGTGGCTTCATAATGTTAGATAATCTAAGACAAGTTGTAGATAGAGAACATGTCATGTGATGTCAAGCCTATGATAATATTGTGTTATAAGCTTTTGGCAATAGATATTGTTTTTAATAATATAGTAGGTTTTTTGCGCTATTTTTTAAGCTCAAAATGTCAATGTTTTTTACTACCACCTTTTTTTTTTTCTAAACAAACTCTAAATTTTATAGATCAGCCCTCACATATGGCGGAGGAATACCATGAATACAAACTCCACATTACAAATTCACTTTAAAGACAAACTTTTATTAATGTCGTACATATGGAAAATGATTTCTATTTGATATAAATAACTTGGTAACGGCCCCAAGAAGATCTGCCATATCATGAAATGTTGCCGTGCTTCCATTTCCACCTATTTTAGATAATGCGTCTGCAACTTGATTTGCTTCCCGGAAAACATGTCTGAACACCACTTCTCTTCCAATCATGAGATCATTTATCTCCTCCCATGCTTTCCAAAATTTCCATCTTGTACATCGTTTATTGAGGAACCAGTTCACAATGACTTGAGAATCACTTTCGATTATAATCTTTGGGAAATTTCGTTCTACACATATGTGGATGCTTTCCAAAACAGCTTTTAGCTCCGCTCATGTGTTAGTATCGTGACCATAGAAAGTGTGAAAAGCATAGATGAACTCTCCATTATCCGCCCTGATCACTCCACCTCCACTACAATTACCAGGATTTCCTATGCAGCATCCATCAATGTTTAATTTAACCCAGGTAGGGAGAGCAGGTATCCAACGGACAAATTTAGTGACTTTATTTTGTGGTTTTCTGAATTGGATTCCCAAATTTCGTAGTGCAATACAATCGAACGAAGATAGTCTAGATACCTTAGCCGCATTGGCACATAGTTCACCCAACCACCACTTCATTGAAGCCCAAATCTGATCATAATTAATGTCCACACCTTCCATTTTTCTTCTGCACCTTGCTGTCCAAATCGCCCAGAAAATCAGAACAGGAGAAAAGCCAATAATCATACCTACTTGGGACGTTTTTGATCCCTTGGAGAACCAGAAATTCATTCTTTGTCTCCAGCCCAAAGATGGAGTGTTAGCGATGCCTGTCGTCGTCGATATCTGATTCCAAAGAAATTCTTCCAGGTCGCTGCCATCCAACAAATGGTTGAGAGACTCACAGTGAGGTGTACCACAACATACACATTTTCATGCTAAGGTGATCCCCACCATTTGTATTTTTTCATCCACAACGAGTGCATTTTGTATAGCTTTCCAAGTAATGAAATAGATTCTTTTTGGAATTAGTGGATGCCATACCCATTTATCCCAATCTACACTCTCCCGTTTGTCTCGAATGAGAGGGTTTCCAAACAACTGTATCCACTCCTTCACGTAACTTTGGAACAAAGTCTATAGCAGCTTTAGCTAAATCATTCCCGATTAATTCTGATAAGACATCTTCATTCTACCCCCTTGAGGTCACCACCGCATTTGGCCTCAAATCAGGTTCCACTATCTCCACCAGGTATGCTAATGGTCCTAGACCAGACCAATTTTCTTGCCAGAAATTAACATCTCCGCTTTTTATGTGCCACACCGAATTTTCAATTACCGTAGGTATCAAACTTGCTATGCTCTTCCAAAAAGGTGAGTTTAAGGCTGATATCTGGATCTCGTTGTATGAATTGTGCGGAAAATATTTTGCTTTTAGGAACTCTTATAGTAGAGAAACAGAGAAACAAAATTTCCAAGCAAATCTTGCTTTTAGAGTCACTTGTACTTCTGCTAAGTCTCGAATGCCTAATCCTCCTTCTGATAATGGTTTGGTAATTTTTCCAAAACTTACCCAATGTCGCTTTACTTTACCATCTGCCTCTCCCCAAATAAAATTTGAGATTAAAGAATGAATTTGATGAATAACCCCTTGAGGTACGCAAATAACCGATAAGATATGTATAGGCATACTTAAAAGAACATGCTTTACAAGAGTTAATCTTCCTCCAACTGATAAGAGTAAAGATTTCCAGCCAGATATTTTCTTTCTCACCTTCATAATCAGCGGCTCGAAATGTCTGATACATAAACGACCTGGGGCTATTGGAGCCCCCAAATATCTGATTGGAAAAGACCCTTGTGTGAAGTTACTCAAACGGAGTGATTCATTTTTCCTCTGCAAGGACATGTGCTTTGAGAAAAATATTGCTGATTTCCGGTGATTCACTTTCTGCCCAGACATATTTTCATAAATGCTTAGGATTTCCACCACTGCTTTAATAGACGCTTTATTGCCATTACAAAAAATAATTAGATCATCAGCATATAGTAGATGAGAGATACGAGGTGCCCCAACAGGGAGAGAGTAAATTCCAATGCGTTGTTCCAAACAAGCCTTTCTTAACATGCGTGTAAGAGTCTCCTCAACAATAATAAACAAATATGGAGAGAGGGGATCTCCTTGACGGATTCCCCGGGAAGATTTGAAAAATCCCCGATAAGTGCCATGCATCATCACCGAGAATGAAGATGCGTCAATACAGTTTTGTATTAATTGGTGAAATTGTGTAGAGAAGCCGAAAGTGTTTAAGACTGCCATCAAGAAATTCCATCCAACCCTATCGTACGCTTTCATCATATCTACTTTAAGCATTACATTTCCTCCTCGTATCTTCCTGTTAAAACTCCGAAGTAATTCTTGTACCAAGGTAATATTGTCAAAAATACTCTGACCCCCGATGAAAGCCCCTTGTTCCTTCGAGATAAATTTTGGAAGTAGAGGTTTCAATCTGTTCGCAATTATCTTAGCAAAGCATCTGTAAATCACTGAACATAGGCTAATGGGCCTGAAGTCTCCAAAGCCACCAGGACCTTTGACTTTTGGGATAAGTACAACGTAAGTTGATGTGTAAAAATTGGGTAGCATAGACCCACTAAAGAAATCAGCTGCAGCCGCCCAAACATCTTCTTCAACGATACCCCAACAACTCATATAAAAACTCGATGAGAAACCATTAGGTCCCGGGCTACTATCCTGTGGAATGCTTTCCATAGCAATTTTAACTTCCTTGCGGGATGGAGCCTCACACAATCTGGTATTATCTTCCAATGATATGCTCGATGTAAGTAATGAGTTCAAAAGTTCAACCCTCGGTACGACATTTTCAGTCATAAGTAGCTCATGGAAGAATTTTACTGCTCCATCGTGAACTGCTTGCGGGCTGTCAAGTGTGGATCCATCCTGTAATGTCATGTTGTAATACCAAGATTTTTTCCGACGTTTTGCAATTGACGCATGAAAGAACTCGGTGTTGGTGTCCCCCTCCTTTGGCCATTTCACTTTGGTTTTTTGTGCCAAGCAAATTTCTTCCCACTTAATCCAATCCTTCAATTCAAATCTTGTTGCAATTAATTCCTTTTCGTCTTGCGCATTTCCGAAATTTAAGACTTGATCTTCTAGTCTAACAATTTTGTCTTCTAGATCCACAATGTGACATTTGATATTCCCAAAGCCGATTTTGTTCCAATTTCTCAAAATTGGTTTTAGCCTCTTCAATTTTTCTCCAAGTTTGAATAAACTTGAGCTTTTAGTTGGCTTCTCCCAATTTTCTTTGACAAGGGGTAGAAAGTCGGCATGATCTACCCACATCCGTTGAAAATAAAAAGGTGGTGGACCATAATGTTCTTGCTGCACCAAAAGTTGAACTAACAATGGGCAATGATCAAAGCTGGATCTAGACAAAACCTTAGCACAAGCCATTCCAAAGTGGGTTAGAAAAGAATTATTAACTAAAATTCTGTCCAACTTTTCCCAAATACAACTTTTTCCTTCTTGTAAATTGCACCATGTAAAAATAGTGCCTTCTGTTTGGAGTTCTTGTAGGCCACAGTTTGATATACAATCATTAAATTCCTGATTTGGGAGATCTGGTTTTGGTGTCCCACCAACCTTTTCAGCATCGCTACGAAATATATTGAAATCACCACCGACTATCTAAGGTATGTCTTGTCGTTGTATAGAAACTAACTCCTTCCATAAATCTACACGACCAATTTGAAAGTAGATCGCATAAACCACAGTGACTAGACAAGAGACTCCATCCTTAGTAAATATACCAGTGATATGTTGATGTGAAACCATTACTTCCTCAAATAATAAATCATCCTCCTAAAAAAGCCAGATTTTCCCATTGACTAAATGATTAGAAAAACAATTGTGAAGATGTAATCTGCACGCCCATCTTCTAATCTTCAAAACAGATTTACAGGTTCCAAAATTGCTACAACACTTGGATTAAATTTAACCATTATATCATTGAGTTGGGTTCTTGATGTTCCCAGACCTCGAACATTCCATATCAATATTTTGTCTATCATTTAGAAGAAGTTTTAGAGCGTGTTATTACCTCTGACAGCATTACAAATTTTTTCTTCTTCTGACGTTGAGGTATGGTGGTTCCTTCCTGTCTCATTTTTCCATCTTCACCCTCTAGGTCCTCGCCATTTGGACATGTGACAGAAAATTTTTTCTGATGCAATAGTTCAGAAAAATCTGCAATTTGATTATCATTCAAATCCACTTGACTTGGGGCTGCACCAAAGTGTTCGTTTTCTGTATTGGTTCCTTTGAAATATTCACTTCTACTTCAATCGCCTCCTGCACGTGTTGAATACAACTTTCCTGTTGTATTAAGTCTCGGTGGTCACCAAATTCCTGGGGAAGAAGATCATTCTCTGTGTTTCTCTCCAGTGATAAGCACCCATCCTGATGTTGAACAAGAATCTGTTCGGTGAGTTTGCCATCTTCTTCAAGCAAAATAGTCTCCACAAGGGAAGGAGGCGTTTGTTTTTCTGGCTCGTCCTTATTCTCATTCATACCGGTTAATACTTCAATCATTTTCCCTGTAACCTGATTTTCTGTAGATGTTGGATCCAAAGATAATTTGTTCTTTGATGTTTCCCCCTCTTCCATTGTGTGTATGATAGGTCTATAAAATTGGTGCATACAATTTTGCTTTATCAGATTATCTTCTATTTTGGTTCTGTCGTCCACAATCCTTTTTCCCTGGATTGATTTAAGTTTCCTGCAGGTTCTATCAGAATGGCCCTGGAAATGGCAGTGTTGATAGAATACTGGTAAAGTTTCATAAACAGTTTCTTGATGGTGGCTCGAACCATGCCCCGGAGGGCCAATCCAGAAAGAATCCAATCTTGGTTTCGTCAGATCCATCTCCACACATATTCTTGCCCTCGCATGGCATGAACCACATATCGTGGCATTGTCACACTTTAGAAAACATCCGATTCCCCCAACCAAAATTTGCAAAGTTGATTGATAGAAGAAATTTGGGGGCAGTCCAGGAAGGAAGACCCATACCGGAGCAAAAGGAGGTTCTTTGTCTTCTCTAAAATCCGATGTCCATTTGAACAATCTGTACGGCACGCCATTGATGTCACATATCTCCCTTGACTAGGCCGTTACAAAATCTGCTTCGTTGGTAATGCGTATCAAAACATGTCGCGGATTTCTCATGGCCCCAGTTACTGGCATCTCCAAGAGTCCCCATCGTGATTTGATGTATCCCCGAATGTCGTTAACAGATGGGCGTTTCCTCAAGAATTTGAGAACTATCGCATACTTCAGAGGCTCAGACGTTTTTTGGATTTCTTCATGTGTGAATTGATACCATACTTGGCCATCAGGACTCGTCTTTGGCTCTTTCCATGGAATTTCAATGTCTGGCATAGAAGTTGGCTTCCCCACCACTATATCAGCAAAGGTTCTTCCTCTATCCATCGTAGCTATCACTCCTCCGCCACCCAGTTCTGTAGGTGGCGGCGCCCTAGGGTTGGCCATGGTGGCTGCCCTAGCAGAAAGGAAAAATCGCCCAAGATCTCCAAAATCGCCCCTCCACAAATTTCGCACTTACCTAATTTCGTACTTACAGCTAATTTTTACTACCACCTTATTTTCCTTATTCTACAATGTTTACGGAACCTCTGCAAGTTAGGTTCGATCCGCTATATCCTAAAGTTCTTACAACTGGAAGTTAGGATTGTGTTATTTTTGTACTATCTTCCAATTTTAAGTGTTTTAGCAATAATCATCTACCTATTTCGTAAATTCAAATTCTTTAATGTAGCTATGCTGAATTTTTATTCCCAAAGACTGTCCTATAGCTTCTATCGCCTGTCATGCCCAAGGAGAAATTTTAGTTGTAGCTATAGTTGTAGGCCACAAGGTTAGAAATTTCAAACATTACACTGCCGTTAGTTTAATTTTGGACTCTCTTCACTGTTGTTGACTTTGTGATATGTGATAGCTATACGTGTGGCGATACAACAGGAGAGGAGAGGCTTCCTCACCAACAATTATCCTTCAAACACGCTGTTCACTCTGAGCTGTAGTTATTCCGTTTCGAAGGTGCCCAAAAAATATAGACACTGTAGCTTGTTACCGACTAATGATTGTATTCATTTTTCATTGTTGCATCTATTCAATCAATTGATGCACTTTACATTAAGATTCTTCATTTTGTAATCATTCTTTATTGCATTGTCATTTTATAGATTGTAATTTTAGGTACAATAAAAGTATAAATCACAAAAAACAAAAGGGCAAATTGTATGTAGTATTATCCTTCTACATTTTTTATGATTTGGTGCATTTAAACTTTATGAACTAAGTTCCAAATTTATTTAGTTTAATTTGTTCTTAGGGATGCAAATATCACAACCTTGGCTGCTTAAACATATGGCATAAGAAAGCATTAGAAAAAGTTGACGCTTATCATGGATGGAGTGTACTTCTTAATAAGAGGTAGTATGTTTCATTCGATTTCTGGTGATAATTCTTTCACCGGTGATGCATGTTGTTCACTCTGTGTTTACGGTTTACGAACTTTGACCGAATTTTTTTTTGTTATTTTCATCTTTTGCCTCTACTTTTTTATGTTTTTCTCCCCTTTTTTATACATGTAATTTTTTCATTATTTTTCTTCTAAGTGTAAGATTTACTGATTTACAGTTATGTTTCATCATATGCTCATCTTCTAGAATAAGAAGTCATCTGGGCTTGGAAGATGCGAAGACAGAAGATGTGTCTAAAGACAAAACTGTAGCTGAAACTCTTGAGAACCTCTATTTTCCTTAATGGTTTTTGAAAATGATGAAATCTTTATAATTAAATTTATGTAGAAAAATTAAAAAGATTAGTCTATCATTTGAAGAATTCTGTTTATATAATTGATACCGATCTATCCATTCATAAATGTTTTATATTTCAAGCAAGAAAATTATTTGAGTTTCCCAGCTGGCAAAGCCAGATAAAGTTATAAAACAACTTGATGTCAGAACAAATTGCTGCCTTACACTGGAGTATCATGTGAAAGTTGAGCTGCTATGGCTGTGGGAAGTTTTGTCAACTGCAATGCTGTTCAAAGGTTCCATTTCTGCTTTGCTCTATTTAGAATAAATACCGCAGCTATATGTTCATTCAAATAATGTTGTCACAAACATGGATGAAGTTTGATTGAATATCATTTCATATGCATTTTTTAATGAATGTGAGATGATGAAAATAGGAAATGCATGAGGCATATGTGGAATGATGCTGAAAACAGGACTTAACTCGTTGGTGAACAAATCTGCACAAACACTATACAAAATAACATTACAGCAAATTAACTTTCAAGCAGACCCATTGTCCTTCTGGGACTACTATTTTTTTTCTTCAAACCATGTATTGGGCCTTAGCAACTCAGAGGTTATCCTTTAGATCTAAAGCACATGGGTAGATCGTACCATACAAACAATCAACAAATAGTGATTTCCTATAGAAGCATAGAAAGTTAGGGGCAGATTTGCATTCAACTCTTAGCCATCACAAAATAGAGAAATGCACAGCTCAAGCACAAGTGTTTGCATGTAAGAAAACTTCTAATGAGGTTTTTATGTTTATAGTAGAGAATCACTTTTGATTTTATCTAGGGAAACCTACTATGAAAGTCATGCACTTGCTTCAACCATTGTTTAGAAATATAGAGAAAACAGAAGATCTAGATTTATTTTTCATGAAGTTAGAGAAGTCCATGATGGGCATCTATGGAAGACTATGATGGGTAGTAGAAAGGAAACGGATTTCTACTAGATATATCGACATTATTAAAGATATGTATAATGAAATAGTCTTCAACATGAGATGTTCTGACGGTAGTAGTAATGAATTATTTTTTCTTCTTCACTAATAAATCGACTAATTAACTCATGTTTCTCTAATCAATTCGATTTCTAGATTGAAAAGATTGATTTGCCTATGACTGTAGTTCTGCACGAGCATTATGCCTCAAGTTCTCCTTTTGCCTTAATCATGGATGAGCTTAAGAGACATTAAAGTTGAAGTATAAATCCTTTGTAGATACATTCTATTAAACAAATTGGTTATTCGTGTCTTCTTTACTTGAAAATTGCCATTCTATTTGTGAAAGACCAAAACATTACTAAAAATCCTAAGAATCTCTACCTTTACTTTGAAGTGTTGGATATCTTCTAATAAGATTTTCTTCATGTCTCGTCCAAATGACACTTCCACTAAAGTCCCATGTTTTCCACCCTCTTCATCACATCACTTGAAAAATTTAAGAGAACATTTTCTTCTGTAGCCATAATTAATAAAATAGACAATTGCTATACTCAACCATAAAGATCATAAACAATTGATATCAACACATTCTAAAAATTTTAAATTGGGTGATGTAGGACAGCCTTGTACAATATTGGCTTTCTTGATTTCAACCAGTTATGACAAAACTCTTCTCAAACGTATTTTTGCTTCTACTTAATCTAACAATTGCCTATTGAATGAAAATTTGGTTCTGGTGAAGTGTATTCTTTGTTGATATTTTAAATTCTAGGCAATTTGTTTTGCTCATTTTATTTATATGTTAAATTATTCTATTAATTTTTTTACGCTATTTATTTATTACAAGCACTTGTCTGCTAAAATGTTATAATCTGGTTTGTATGTTTTTTGCGTCTTTCATTCTTCAATGTCCTTCTATTCTCTTATATGAAAAGAATAGTTCTGCCCTTGGAAAAGGTAAAATTATGGAGTTTGCAACAAGTTCTTATACTTTGAATTTTGATTGTATTTTATGCTGTGCAGATTTTGAATTTGCACATTGGAAGGGTATCATGTAGCTATGAAAATACCAAAATAGGATGAGTGAGTAATTTGTCCCCAAATAAATCATCAAAACAAATGGTTTTCTCATCTCATAATAGTAGCCAATGTTTATTCCGTTCACCACTTTGGTTTTACATTGAGAAACTAATTCAGATAAAACAGGGGAATATAAAGCTATGAGGAGCAAAAAAGTTAACATGTATTAGTATTCTTCATCACTTAAAAAAAAAACTCAAACTATTGGGGTAGAAGAGATTCACGCACAAAGGAAAAATTCATCACAAAAAAAAAAGAAGAAACATAAAATCTATTACAAATTTATTCGCAAGGCACGAAAACCATCCAACTGTGTTTAAATGAGATGGAAAACCACTAAAACTATTGAAATCATGCATAAACCCCAAAAAACAAAAAAGAAAAAGAAAAAGAAAAACCAACTTGTTAGTTGGTTAATTTGCAGGATCTTGTTGCCTCGGTGGAGTATGCTATTTACTGCTTCTACGCAATTTTACTCTCCAAAACACTTGTTAGTTGGTTATTTTGGTCACAACAGAAGAGATTCGATTGAATCTGGAAAATGTGGAGTTAGACGTGCTTGGCTCATGTAAAAAGGTAAACCATATTGCTAAGAACACATTTCATTCTCTTGTTATGGATATGCTTTTGAGCTTTTAGTGATTCATCGAAAGATTTTTTTTTTTTTTTTTTTTATTGAAGTTTCTTTCCGCTTTTACATGTTCTAGGTCACAATATCTATGGATGACCCTATTATTCGTGATGGAGCTGGTAAGAGGAAAGCCATAGAGGGAAGACATAAACAAGTTTGTGTTTCTTCATTCACCTCGGTATTAAAAAGCTTTAGGAGCCTTGAGGTAAAAAATACTGGGTCTTTTGACCACTTCAATTTGTATACTTAGTTTCATATTCTCATTTACTTTCTATATGTTGATACATATCCTTAGCAATAAAATTTGCCCATTTCTATGATTAATTATTTTGGTAAAAGTTTCTTCATAGTTGTGCTTGTCTTCACATGAGAATTCTGTTAAAAATGTCTTTTATTATTATCTGGCGTCTTATTACTCATGAGACTATACAACTAAAATTGATTTTTCTTTTGCTTTGAATAAGTTGAGAGCATATATGGATATTTCTCTTTAGATTGCTCCTTTCAGCAGGCCTGTGAACATAGTTGAGATAATAGTTCTGTTGGGTACTATATATTACAGTAAGAAATTGAATGATTTAGCATTCTTTTCCCTTTTGGTTTCATCAGTAACTCCATCTTGCAAATTGAAGGGTCGAATACCTGGTGAATTTGATGATTACCTTAACATCACCTAAAAATTAAAAAAACCCGGGCGTTGCACGGGCAAAGACTAGTGTTATGAAAAGAGGTAAAAAGAGAAGAAAATATAAGAGTCAAAACTTTAGTATGTATTATTAAGAACCAATGTTGTGTACTTATAGAGTTCAAAATAAGAGCTATAATTAAAATGAAATAAATTTTCTAAATTAGATAATATTTATTTATGTATCATGATAATACTGAATAATCATTAATAATTATCTCATTATTTCACAACACTCCCCCTTTGATGATTGTTTGTACAATAACTATCTCATTGAAACCTTGTTCGGCAAAAAAAAAAAAAAAAAAAAAAAAAAAAAAAAAAAAAAAAAAAAAAAATGCCAACAAATAAAAAAGAGTACAAATAATTTGGAGTAATAAAATGCTATTTCGTTAAAATCTTGTCAAGAAAATTCAGTGGGATAAAACTTGATCGAAAGAATAAAAGTACAGCTATTCCCCCTGATTTCATTTATTGTATCAAGCTATCAAAGTCTTGTACATCAATGTCTTCAATATTACAATTTCTGGTGAAGTACGTCTCATGTTGTCTTGCATAATTGTCAAATAACACTGTCTTCATAAGAGATATTTTTCATCCTTTAATAACTGTAGTAACAAAATGATTCGAAAAATAACTATTGTTGATCTCTTCGAGAGTCTCAATATTTAATTTCAATATCCACATGACATAAGTCGTATGTTTTCCTTCAGGGATAAATACAAATTCATAAATTACACATAATATATTCTTCAAAATATGTGTTATTTCAAGAGACGTTATATTTTACTATCTCTTTTTTAAGAGCAATATCAATATTCTTCTGAAATATTGGAATCATAGTGTCATGCTCTTCATGAGCAAAAATATATTATTATTTGTATAAAAATTTACTCTTCGAAAGTAAAAACATAATTTATGTTAGATCGTATTTAATTATGTTCTTCGAGAATAAGTAAAATCTAACTAAAATATCTGTTAATAATAGCGTGCTACTTCAAAAGCAATAATATTCTTTTATAATTTTGACAATTCGTGCTAATTCAGGAGCACCAATAAATTATTGTTTAAAAACATTAACTCTCTATGAGTATGCTTTTGAGGCAAATATTATATTTGCAAAGTTGTACTTCTTTATGAGTACTTTATATTTTTCTATTGCTTCTTCAGCAGCAATATATCAATATATTTATTTGAAACATTAAAATTGTAATTCATGCTCTTAATAAGCAATATGTCAATATTCTTTTAGAATATTTAAAATCATAATTCATGTTCTTTGAAAACAAAAAATATTCTTCTGAAATATTGAAAAAAGTATAGTTCATATTCTTCAGTAACAAGTAATAATTTTTAAGAATATTAATTATAATGTTGTGTTACTTCAAGAGCAACAACAAATTATTTATAATAGATAGATCTATGATTAATATTCATTTCGAATATTAATTAAGATGTTGACTATTTCAAGAGCAACAAAATGATAAATTATTAGTTTAAATTTTATAATAAAACATCTAAAATTATTTAATTAAGCTAAAAAATTAATTATCAAACATGAATTAGGAATAATTTCATATATGCGCATGAATTCCTCAAATGTCAAACGTAAAGGCGGAATTATCACATTACGGTGATATTCAAATGACAATTAGAAAAAAATGCTTAATTTAATGCATGTGTATATAAAATACAAATATATCAATTCACATAATTCGATACAATATTAATGCACACAAATTGATAAGTGTACAAATGTGATTGTACAAGCCAAATGTATGTGCTTTATCTCATGGTAGTACAAACTTAATTGTAAGGATATATAATCTTACAGCCCAACAAAGTTGGGTACGTATGATTGTACAAACAAAAATAAAAATCAAGCGACATAAAATTGTAATGCATATTATAAAAAAATTCACATGTTACCAAATATATATATAATGAAAGAAAATTATCCCCCCATACCTTTAATTTTATTACCACTGTATCCTTAATTCGTCTCTATAAATATGGGGATTCTGGTTCTAATAAGATATACAAAAATTTATTGACTTCTTTATTCTTCTCTCTTTTTCTTTCTATTACATAACACGTTATTAGCACGAGTTCCTCAAAATCAAAGTGAATTAGTTAGAAGGTTCGCGTTGAGTTTGAGTTTGAGACCAAGAGGGGTTTGTTATGCTGTTTAAGCTTTTGCTCTTATGGATCAGATTTTTGTTTCTACTAGTGAACAACTACAATTGGCTTTTTTTATTGGTGGCTCTGTCCATCTGGTGGTAACCTGTTATGGTGGTTGATGTCCTTGTTGCTTATTTTCTATTTTTCTGTTTACGTCTTCATGTGCCCTAGCTCTTGGCTTGGTTAGCAATTTTGTTTTTTCTCCTTGTGACATATCTCTTTGTCTGCTTCCTTTTATTTGCTTTCCTATTTCTTGCTAACCTACATCTTGAATTTGGCTACTCATACCGTGAAAGTTAAATCGTGGCTCTTCTCCCTTAGAGTCTGGTGTGTGTAACCCTTAATTTTTTATTACAAAATAGTGTTGTTAATGATTACACGTGAATATATTTCCTATTAAATCATTATACATGACCCTTGATTTATTTTTGTTTATGTTTGCAAAATATATATATGTTTATGATAATCATTAAATATTCTTTATATTTTTAACCTGATTAAATATTTTCAAATGTTCTTTTTTGAGCTTTAAATTGATAATTCATCATATTGTTGCTCTTAAAGTAACACAACATTTAATTAATATTTCAGAAGAATATTACTCGTAGATCCATTTACTATAAATATTTCGCTTTTACTCATAAAGTAGCACAATATTATAATTAATATTCCAAATGAATATTGACAAACCACTCTTGAAGAAGCAATAATAACATTCAACATGCTCTGAAAGTAGCGTATATTTTGAAGAATATAGGAAGATATAAGGTAGGTTATATAAAAAAGAAGGGATTTAATGTTTATCTCTGAAAGAAAACATACTACTCATGCCATTTGAAATATTGATTCTTTATGATTATATCATGGTTAATCATATTTTTGAGAATTGGCTATGTCTTTTATTTAATTAAATAATTATTCAAATGACAAGTATTGTATTGAACCAAAAGTTCAATTACTGAATGCATTATTATTTGGTATGACTAATTGAACCATCACTGGATCATTATTAAGACAAAATTGAGAATTCAAACATTTAATGAAAAATAAGAAGATTCTTCAATCCATAGAATTCCTATATGATATTTGAAAATTGATCATTAATCATCACTAGTTAAAATAGAGACTAAATTTCTTATATATATATAAAATTGATCATCTGGATATTGTTCGTGTCTAATAAATTTGATATATCTAATATATAATTGAATGGTATTTGCAACCTGAAGTTAACAAAATTATTACTTAAATCTTAAATTATGAGCATAATATTCCAATTACACAATCAAGAAAGTGTGCATTCTTAATGCTAGTGAGTCTAAATCTAACATTTTAATAAGTGTTAGTTGATATGTCAATAAATGACTTAACACTATTGCTTGTTAAACGTTTCCAAATAATTTAATTGAGAGCAAAGTACTTCACATTTTTGTGTAAGGAATGTTATTGTGCATCATGTCAACATCAAGTTATCTCTATTATAATTAGTTCATGGTCAGAACCTGATTTATTCATCTAATTGTTTGATAATACAATATATGTACAATTAATCCACCACATTGAACTGAGATGAAAATCAATGAATGTTGTGAATAAATACAAAGTTTGAATCCTTATCCCAAATAAGTGATATTTTTTAACGCAATTTGTTTATTGTCAATTTTATTTGACAATTCTCTTAGCACTAGAGGAGAAATTAAGAATCTAGAAATAATGTACAAATGCATCATTATCCAAATTCAATGCATTTACTGAAAGATATCAACAAAATCTCACACACAACTTTAAATGCTCCAACTCGAACTAACATTCTAGAAGACAATTAGTTAATATTTTATTGAATAAATTTATAGCACGCGCGAAGCATAATGATATTCGATTCTAATATAAAATCTCCAAATGTAAAATGAGCAATTAGCAAAGATGCTATCATTAAGAATGCATATAGTTTTAATGAATATTTAGATATAATAAATTATAAAATCACAGAAAATGTTTAGTTACCTGATATGTTGAAAGTTGAAATATCTTAATAAGTTGTGTTGTTATGAAAAAAGAAATAGAATAAAAAAAGAAAAAAATTATTGACAACGCTTTTTCGCATTATTTACTGCATCATATTATGAATAGCGATGAATCAAAATAAATTTGTTAAATATATTGATTCGAAGCAATAATTGACCAAAATAAATGGACGCAATCCTAACAAATTAAATTTACTAAAAATTATGGACTTTCTGGATCTACAGTCCGAATACCTAAATGTGTATACTTTTGCGAAATGAAAATATAAAAACTAAAATCGTAATATGTAATATTAAACTCTTCATATAAAGATTTTGGCAAATACTTGTATAAATAGATAAATTATCACGTGGTGGATGCAGTTGCAAGTCTCTATCTTGTTAACCTGACAATACATGAAATTTGTATGCACGTAATAAATGTGATTATAGCCAAC